ATGGAATCCTCTTGCCATGGGGTGGAAACCTGTCGCTAGTGGCTTCTACCATGCTATTCAAGAATCTGGTTCTCCTACCCTCTGTACCAATGCTGTTGCTCCTCCATCTCCTCACTAATCAGATGTAGAACAGCTTAAATTGAGATCCAGATTATAAGATCACTGTAGGTTTACAGGACAGTCACATTCTATATTCTCCTGGCCTGGAAAACAACAGCAGTTCTGAGAAAGGCATTCAGTGAGATTAAGGAGAAACACACTGACCCTGGGTGTGAAGAAGGCTCCCAAGCTCTGTAGCTTTGATTGACAACCCCTCTCCTTTTTCTGTCTGTGCCAAGTCTGATTTGTTGTGAGAAGAATACGTGATGTCTAAACTGATGGATTTTAAAATGTCGCTTGGTCTGTGGATTAGGCCAATCCATCCCACATTGTTGGGGCTGCAGATGCAGTTGAATGGTTCATAATTATAGCCTGAGAGACTGCAGACAGCAATAGAGCCAAGCCAGACCCCCTTCCTCCTCATAGCCCATGCCAAGCTGTCTCCCACAGGGAAAGAGGGTGCTTGGTCTGCAAAGTACTTGCCTAAGACAGCACAGAATCTTGCTGGGTTTCTGGAAACAGTACCTGGATACCTACCTGTTCTGATACACACTGGATGGGGCTCTGTGTGGTAAGGGTAATCTTATTTTTCTTCTCTGGTGAGTAGGAGGATTGACTTTTCTTAAGAGACACAACACAGGCTTCCATCTCAGAGCACGTGCTAATGAGCTGATGAGGTCTAAGGTTCTGCCTCCCTTATGATCTACAACAACACCTTTTCACTCACTTTCAGAACAAATACAAATCCACAGCTTTCCTTCCTCAGTTGGTGGTGGTGTTTCTCAAGCAAGGCCAGAAAGTCCTCTGTTTAAGAACTGTGGAAATGGATTGGGTTTTACAATTCAGCGTGATAGTTGTCTGAACTCTCCCTGGTGACAGTTCAGTTAACTGAGGATCTACTCTCTCCCACAGAGGCATCCAGGGGGAAAGATTTAAAATGATTTCTTACATATTCTCCCTTACTCTGGACCCTAAAGACAACAATAATCCTTTGAAGGTAATTGAACACCTTTCTACCCTAGACATTCTGCTAAAGCCTTGCATCCATGACCTCATTTAATCATACAAATAATCTTAAAATGTGGGCATTATTATTTTCCCTGCTTCAAACATTGAGGACCTGAGTTTCAGGAATAAGTAATTTGGCAGATTAAGTTGGTTAAGTTAAAAATCTGAATCTCACTTCTGAATCCATACTGCTGTCTATCTCAGTTTATTACAGAGTTTCCTGGGCCGAATAGGCTCTCAAGTCCTCCCCACCCTCCTCCCTTTCTCCGGAGCAACTGCAGCTCTCTTATGGTCCATTGTTTATTGTATTCATTGAACAATAGCTAATGACTCTGTATTACATGCTAGGAAGATCCAGGGGTGGTTTTATTCCCTGAAGCAGAGATGAGGTTGTGACACTAAGAAGGTTAAGTGGCTTTGGTAAGGTCACAGAGCCAGCTTGCAGTTAGCCATACTGCCATCTAAGTCCCTGGCTTAGTTACTAAACTGACCCTAAGGCCTTTTGGAACTACAGTTTAATTAATAGTTATTTTAATTTCTTCTTTCCTTTCCTTTCTCCAACTTAATGGTAGATATTGAAGCCTGAGGGTTTTTTTTTTTTTTTTTTTAACCCCTGTAATTTGCATCCAGTAGACAGAAACCACTTGGTACAGAGTTAAGTTTCAGACATGTTTTTCAGGGTATGATAGAGCCTGTTGGCTTTTCTCAGACTGGAAGGAGACGAACCACAAGTGCAGCTTAGACAGGTTGCTAACTGAGAGATTGTTAAACATACACACATACACATACACACACACAAACAAAAAACAAAACCCAGCAACTTACATTTTTGCCAGTAAGTCAGCATCTGTGAGTCATGAACTCGTTTGGGATCAGTCGTTAGTGGTCTGAATGTTTTTGTGCTGCCTTCCGTGGGGCCTCTTTTTAAAGGCTCACAACGCAGAGAATTCTAGCATACTTCTGCAGAGGAAGGCTCTAGCTTCCACAATTCTTTGAAATTACATGCATTTTTACATACTTGCTGAATGTGGAGCAGGACTGAGTGAAGAACAAAGGGAAATTATTATTTCTTGTTATATGCTCCTTGTGGTGAGGGACTTCCTGTATACAGGTGACTCCTGTCTTGATGCCATATTCCTTTTCTCCAGAGATCCAACTCTTGGCCAGATGTAATTAGCTAGAGTCTAAGGATTTTTAAAGATACAAATTTGTTTTCTCCCCAGTAGGAAGCCAAGTAAAAAAAAAATCAAACAACAACATCAACAACAAAAAACCATTACTCACTGTACTCACTGGCTCCCAAGTGCCTTAAAGACCAGCAGGCTTGAAATAGTATGCTTAGGTATAAGAAGGCAGAGTTTGTGTTTGGCTGGTAAGTAAGCTGGAACACATGTGAACCGAAGTGGGCAAAGTTGGGAATAAAGTCCTATTTTGCCATAAGGAACAAAGGGCAGCTCTCAGGATAGAGTTACTGACACCTTCTAGGTCATCTTCACAAGCAGTGGTAAAGCAGAAGCCCAGAGTAGCCAGAAAGCTGGTCGTTTTTCACTCTCTCTCTCTCTCTCTCTCTCTCTCTCTCTCTCTCTATCTATCTATATATATATATATATATATTTTTTTTTTTTTTTTAATTTTTAATTTTATTTTTAAAACCATCTTATTTTACATACCAATCCCAGTTCCCTCTCCCTTCTGTCTTCCCTCTCCCACACTGAGGCCTCCCATGGGGAATCATCAAAGTCTGTCACATCACTGGGGGCAGAACCAAGACTCACCTCCCTGTATCTAGGCTGAGCAAGGTATCCATTTGTCAAACAACAATTAAATGGGCTACTGTCCTGGTTGGATTATTAATGTCCCAAACATGTGTGTAAAAATATCTTAACTGGTTCTCTCTCAGTGCTTCTCATCCTACAGGAAGTTTTGACCACATCCAAGGCTCTTTGCAGGACTTGTGATGTTGGGGACATTTGCCATCAGTACATACCACTTTCTGATCTGGACATTAGAACATTTTGAGCCCCTGCACTTCAGGACAAGGTTCAGAACAGGAAGATCAACACATTGATGGGCACTGTGGAAGGATTACAAGGAACATATTCCTTCATTGTTGCCAGGGTAGAAAACCTGGGCTTCTCTAAGTGTCTCACATACAGGAGTGTAAGCCATAGTGTAACTAGATACTAGTTTAGTGGAGGACGAGACCCTGGGGAGGGGGAGAGAAAGGAGGGATCCTGAGAAAGCTGCTTTTGCAAATAGAGTAAAACTCTCCTGCATTTTCATAAGACTGAAGCAACAAAATGAAATTCACCAAAGAAACAAGAAAGCTTGTTCAGTTCTACAGATGTCAGAGTAAGGCAGAGGCAGTTCAAAAGTCTTTTCCTTGCTGCTTATTTGGGCGTGTGAATGTACAATCCATTATAATCCATTCATCAGCGGCTTCCCTAAGCTTTTCCCAGGATCCGAAGTGTCTGTTCTAGTCATCTGGAGGCCAGCATTGTTTTCTTATACCTTGCAGAAACACAGCTGGACTGCAACAGTCTTTGTTCTTTCAAAAAAGAAAATGAGGATTATCACATATGCATATTTCTCTCTGGTGACCAAAGAAGGGTGAACCTGGAGGTTGGACCAGGACCCAGAAATTGACATTCTTATTGCTTTTTCTCCCTCCTCCCCCCACCATTTGCTTTGGGAATCTGTACACTGCTAAAGCCCAAGGGGCTGGGGTGCTTAGATGAAAGTTAGCAGGTGTGATGAAGTTTACTAGAGCAGAAGTTACAGTTGCAGGCAAGTGGTGGGAGTTCATCACATGCTTAGAAATCAGGAAACAGTACTAAGAATAGCTTTCCCTGAGGTCCTCAGGAAGATTTATGTTGTCTTTTAATCAAAGGTAAATGCCAATGCCTTGCTCCACATCACTGCCATGTCCTGGATGCTACACATGCACTACCATGTCCTCGATGATTTTTTAATGAGTACCAAAACTACCTTGATGTATGATAGCTAATTATCAGTGGCACATTATGGATTAGCATGGCTCGCCTTTTTATCTGGAGTGTTGGCAGTTCCCAAATATGACAAGGATGCGCACAGTGATTCTGGGGGCTGGGGATGAACCTTAGAGATTCACACCTGTAGGGATGGAGAAAAGGATGTTGGAAGTTTTCTAATAGAGCAGAGTGTGAAAGGCAAAGCGTCAGCCAAGGTGACACAGAGGAACAGAATAATTAGGAACTCAGTTATGGGTTCTAGACTTTCCAGTTGATACAGGAGCTTTGCGGCTTGAGTTTTGGGAGGTCTCAGATAGGCTTGGTTCTGAGCTAGTCAAGTTGATTACGGTTTTCGTTCACCAATGCTGCCCTTGTCACTTAAACTACTCCAAGGGTGGGATCCTGAGTCATAACTCAGCTGGAGCCCTCCCAGAACACCCGCTGTGGAATCCCCCGCACGCGCCCCTTCAGTGCCCATCCAAGCAAGCCTCACGTCCTGTGTGTCAAGCTTTGTGAATGAATGATGTACACGCACTTGGAAAACTATGCTGTCGCCGGAGCGGGCCGCATCGGTGACCAAGCACTAAAGAATGCGTGCACAATCAAATGGATTTTCCCGAGACCGTGGCAACAGCCCCTGCACGCCAGCGACCCTCGCCAGCCTTCCTCACCAGCTATGGCCTGAGGCTCTCGCCCTGCTGGCGGAGTAGAAGGGGCTAAGCTGCAGGGTCCAGTGCGCCCTCCCTTCCTTTCGCTTTTGGGAGATGGGCGGTAATTGGCTGCCGGCGCCAGACCCCGCCCCTCATCCCCGCCCCCGCCGCCCCGCGGAGTGGGCAGGGCAGACGCTGGGACCCTGGGCCTGGGCTCGGAGAGGAACGCCCTAAAGCGGAGGCGAGCTGCACAGCGCCAGTACCGGCCAGCGGAGCGAGCGCCCGGGACCGAGGAGCGAGCGGGCGGGCAGGCGGGCGAGGCGCAGGCGAATCTGGGACCCGAGCGCGCTCTCTGCTCCGCCAAGTGCCAACTTCGCGGGGACGGGCTGGGTGCGCACCTTCCCGCGGGGTAGGCAGTCAGCCGGAATTTGAGATTTTAGGGAAGAAAGTCAGCTTCGCCCTGTCCCTTTCCCCCCCCCCCCGGGTTCAAAATCCCCATTAAAAAGCAAAACAACAGTTACAACAAACTTGCTCTCTCATCCCGCCGGCCCCCTCAAGTCCCGGCACCATGAAGGCGGCCGTCGATCTCAAGCCGACTCTCACCATCATCAAGACAGAAAAAGTGGATCTGGAGCTTTTCCCCTCCCCGGGTGAGTGGCGACAGCGAGGCCCCCACCCCAGCTCTGGGTCCCTTCCACTTCCCCCTCTGGGTTGCGCTACTCCCTCAGGAACCAAGGATACAGAGGCCAGGAGGAATGTTGGTGGCCCAAGACCCTTGTGTGTGGGTTTTTTCTTTACTTTACGGTTTTTTTTGGGGGGGGGGTGTATTTATTTTCACAGCTGCTTTTTTTTTTTTTTTTTTTTTTTTGACTAATGGGAAAAAGCTTATAGAATTTCCAGCTCCCTAATTCTGGTGTTTCAGTTTTCTCACATAAGCTAAACCTTCTGGTAGTATTACTTCACATTAGCCCCATGCCGCCTCTCAGGTCACCCCCTAACTCTGTGTCTCCCCAGAACTGGAGCTTGATGGGAGGGCCCTGCAGAGTGCTGAAAGGGTATCTGGCCAACTGCCTGGCTCTGGAGCACATTCTCAATGCTCTTGCATCCTGAGCGCCCCTGTAACACATCCCTTACAGTCTCACTCCTCTTTTCTGGTTGAGGAGGTAGTGGGAGGAGAAATGAAATCAATCTGTTTAACTTTGAGAAAGCCCAGTTCCCTCCTGTTCATACAGGTTACTAACTTTACTGGCTTTCTATTCTGCCATGTTTTGTCCTCTGGTACCAAAGGTCCTCGAAGAAGAAAAGCATCCTAACACCAGATGTGACTCGGTGTCCTTGGTTCATGGTTTTATTTAGCAGGCTTAAAGGGTTTAAAGAAGAGAGGGACAGTAAAGACACGAATTTTGTCTTAGAAGGAATTTAAGTGCTAAACAGATGGAGTCAACTCTTGAGGGTTCCTGAAGCTCACAGGGTGTGAAAGGGAATGTACCTTCCTTTAGGATAGGGAGCCTGTAGCTGGCCTCAGAGGAGTGACTTTGGAGGTGAAAGGGTGTAGAAGGATACAGGGAGAAAGTGATGCATTTTGGGAACGAATCAGCTGTCACAACACATACACCTCTATTGTGTCTAATTGTCAGTTGTTGTCCCCAACCTCTTTTCTCTGCCATTGAATTTTCAATATAGGCCAAGATGAGGTTTTGCCATTCTGGCATGCTTCAAAATGTTAATAATGCTCTGTACAAAAGCTGGGCCTGTGTCCTGTCCCAGTGTGATGACAGTCAGAGCCACACTGTCCGGCTGTGGAGACTTCTCAGACACTCAGAGCTACAGGTAGAAACGATGCTGTGAAGGTTATTTTTGAATGTTCAGGGAACCAGAAGTTCTCTGTGTCACAACTGATTGAAACCATAGATAGCAGAAGTGAAAGGATATTCCCCAGCAAAGATATAAACTCAACTAATAGGCCCTTTCCTTAAGAATGGCTTGTTTATATGTGCTGTGTGTGTGTGTGGGGAAGAGACAGATTTGGGCATCTGGGAAACATCATGTGCATTATGTCAGTTAACATACCTACAGTGGAACTTTCATGCTGGCTGGGAATGAGAGCCCCTTGCAGCACGTGTTTCAGATCATAGCAAACAGCTGAAGCATGTTTTTTGGTAATTTAATATTAAATATTTGAGATTTTAAAGCATTTGATGCTATTTCTACAGTTATTGGCAAGAATAAACGGTGGGCAAATAATTTTATTGAGCTGTCCCACCAGTAAAATAGAGCGAGGTAGCCTAATGTAGCAGTTGGTATACAGAGTACCTTTACACTGGCTTTTTTGAAGAGGTGTTCAGGGAATGCAAGTTGGAAGTGAATCTGGGCTACATGGTGCATTTAAGACCAATTTGAGCAATGCAGTGAAATCTTTTCTCAAAAAAAAAAAAAAAGCTCCCAAGCCAGACTTTATAAATGATCTTTAGTGCAACAAAGTGACACAATTTTATTTGATCCAGAAGTCAGGAGTCTTCTGCCTTCCCCCCTCCCCTCTTCTGGTACTTTCTTAGAGAAAATGAAGAACAATGATTTGTTGGTCATTTTAACTATTTTTTTTAGCATTTTTTCTAGATTTTTAGTTGCATTTATGTAAATATTATGCCCATACCTCAGATGGGGGGGCCTAGAAGCACAGAAAAGTTAAGGCACTTAGGCAGAATTCTTCACAGAGCCAGTGGCTGAAGAGACATGAATTCCTGTTTCTAACTTATCAGTTACAAAGCAGTAATACTGCAAGTTACCTTTGGAAGCTCAACAGAGAAATGTCAATGGAGACTTCAATTTTTAGGTGCAAAGATGGAAGAAACCCAGCCAGGACTGGCAGCTTCCACTAAAAGAAGGATATGACACTAGGTGCAGCTTTACCTGGACCATCAAATTATATAGGGCACTCAGAGATTAAACCAGAACTTCCTTTCTGCACCCTCCACAGATTCCTAGATTCAAAGAAATGCAGTGGGAAGTCTGAGGATCCATATTCTCAGAGACAGAAGAACTAGAATATTTGTCAGTCTCTCTGTGGTTAGGACTTGACTGAGAACATCTGTTCATGTTGGTTTTACATTGAGGTCTGACAAGATTTTGACTGCATTGAGTATCAAATTAATATATACTTTAAAATATCACTGGCATTCAGTTTCCCTTGTAAGTGTACAGCAGCCATGTTATTATTTCATTGCACACTTCTTTCAGGCCTTATATAGGTTTAAACCAAAGGTAGCATTGACTTGTTCCTGGTTCCTTTCTGAGTAGGGGATGAAGGCAGGGTGTGGGAGTAAATGCTACTTTATTTTTCTCCCTCCCATTTCACTCCACCTTAATGGTGAGGTGAAAATGGCAGCCACAGAGGAACAGTTTTCATCCTGGCTATTTGACCATTTATAAGACTTAAAAGGTTCAGCTTCTATTTCCATCTCCCGGGGACTGTTACTGTCCTTTGAGATAGGAAGAAGTGCTGTCCTTTCTTAGTTTGGACAGTCTTTGTGCCATTGTAAGCAAGAAATAAGCCGAGAGCTGCTGGGCTGCTAGGATCACTTGCTCACCGAGTTTCTAGATCCCCTCTTACCACACTTTTAGTGACTAAATAGCCTAGTGGTTTGGACAGGGACTATGGAGCCAGCTTGTCTGGGTGTGAATCCCCAGTTAGTAGCTGTGTGACTTTGGGCAGACTACTTAATCTCCCTGTACTCCAGCTCCTGCGTGCGTGAAATGAGTGTAATAATCCTTGGATGAAGATGAAACCCAAATATATGGAAAATCTTAACTCAGTGCCAGACCGGTAATGGAGTCTGTTGTGCAGTTAATGAAAAAGCAAGTCAACAAAAACCTTGACAAGTGTAGAACTTTCACAAGACCTTAGAAGGTTTGGTAGGGAATCTGGAGGTTGGTTTATATATGTGCCCCAAATCTACCACTTGGGGAGGAAAGGATAGCAGAGAAAAAGATCTCCAGGCCTGAAAGCTCACATAAGCAGGCTATATTCAGAGCTGTAGATAGCAAGTATGGTGAGCAGTTCACTTTCAGAGTATTGGGAGGCCCAGCTGTCACTGCAATGGGTCTAGAGGTGGGTGTATTCCTTCCGGTGATAGAGCCTGTCAATGATATTCAAAGCAGGAAGTCTACCAAGTGCAAGGACAATGGGAACATTTGCAGAACTGGAAGAAAAGTAAAGGTTTTTCTATTTTACTGGGGTGAGAATTGTGTCTTGTTCATTTATTATAAAATATCTCAAATTTTATTTATTTGCTTGGTTGGCAGAGCTTGCATTCCTGTCATTTTTGGGTTGTGTTGCTGTATTTTTTCTTGTCCTTGTAGCATTTTCTCCCCCTCTTAAAGAGGCCAGACCACCCTGTAGGAACATCTTCTCTCTATAGGAGACAAAGCACCCGTGGTCAACTTCCCCAAGCCCAGCTTGCTCTCGGCTCCACCACAGTTTCTGCAAAAGCAAGAGCTGGTTACTGGCTGCCAGAATTTTCCAGGAAAGAATCTCCCTGCTTCAGAGTATGGTGGCTAATTCCTATTGGCACACACAACAACATAATTATAGATGGAATGAAACCCATAGCTCTGATGGCATTCCAGGAGCTTATGTTGATGGTAGATTCTTGTTAACTGTTGTAGGGAGTTTCTGAAATGTGTGTCGAGTGTGCTTTGTATGACTACAGCATTCATACACTGGAGCATACTTGATTCACACTCAGTCTGGGGGGAAATATTATTTATTCCATTATTTTTCAGGTGAAGAAAGTTACTTTTATAGAAATACATACCTTTTCTAAGGCTATACTTTAGAAACTTAGACACTGGTGAGATGCATCAGGCATTTTGTACCTGAAGCCAAAGCATTGTATTACTTTCAGCAACCCTGGAAATTAAACCATAGTCTGTATTAAATAAGAAGGCAGTGCTGGCTGATACTATGGAGGTTCGGGGACCATAGGGCTTCCCTGCCATCCCTGACAGACTCCCCTGAGCTGAAATGTCACCAAAGTGCCCTGGACAGCTTGGCAAAATTGTCCCCAGGCAAAGCCCTCCAGATGTGTATCCTTTGGAAGATTCTTGCAGATTCCAGTCACTTTGACTTCAGATAATGAGGGAGAACTGCGTTTCAGTGACTCTCAGGCATTCTAACCCTGATCTCTGATGGGACCATCAAGTCCCTGACCCTCTAACTTCTGCCCATTTTATCTCCTTCGTCACTAGTGTTGCCATGAATTCCATTGTTTCAAGTCTGGGTGATGAAAGATAGTGACGGGCAAGCTGAAGGCAGTTGAAGTTTACTTTTCTGCTTCGTAAGGAGATGGGATAATTCCTTTTGTTTTCTACATAGCAAATAACTTCTATCTTTCCCCTAAAAGTTATTTAGTTTTGACTTCAGTTACTGTGTCAGGGCATACTATTCAGAGTGCCTAAAGGGGAAGGTAGGACAGTCGCATCAACACATAGCTCATTGGGAAACAAACAGACTCAGATTCTTCAGCCATGGTCAAGGTATGCCTTTACCATTGCATTATGGGGAGTGTTCCTCCAAATACTTAGCATCCTTGGGCCATGCAGCTATCATAAAGAGGAACTTGTATGTGAATATACAGATCCCTGCTTTATT